TAATGCAACAATTCACAATTTATATAATGAATAAAACATAAGAACCAACACATAGTTATAGTTGATCCTTAATAAAAATACATGCAACTAAGACAATTATCTTACGATTAGTATAAAAGTATTCACCTAACAAAAATTTATGACAATGGTATGGGTTAATGAATTGTTGTGTTTGTGTAAATTGACTTAGTCTCTTAGCAATTATCATAGGCTGGAAATGACCTTCCTTTCAAGTTTTCATCCATCATAATGTATGAAATTTATCTAAATTAGGCGTTCATATGTTGTGGTTTACATTTTACATATACAAATATACACTATATGAGCAATATTGAGCTTTATATTTTATGAGTCTAAAAGGGATGAACGTTAGCTCTTGAGTGGTTATGCAAAGTATTAAGTATGTGTATATAATATATGTTAGATATATGACTAATTACTTAACTGGTTAATTTGGTTTGACTGGTTAGGAGTGTCTGAAACCAAAACAAACCACCTAAACCAAACAAGCTAAAAACTTTAACCAAACCAAACCAATTATCCAAATTAACCAAACCAAATTATCCAAATAGTACCGGTTAAAACGGTTACCATGGTAACCAAACCGTTTGAACACCCCTAATTTTGAGGACTTATATGCCAAAAAAATAAATTTAGGTTATAAATCTAAAGATCTATTAAGTTTTGGTATCGAGCTGTAATTTGCATAGTTGAGTCTTAATTCCTTTTATGATGATGTATTTAAGATGATAAATATTTACTTTATTATAGAAAAATGGAAACTATTTATTTGAAATGTGTAGATACCCAGCCAAACATTTCATGTATAATTCTTGAAAATTCTAGTCCGGGTGAAAAAGAAAAACTCTAAAGAGAAGCAAAATGAATACAAACTGGAAGTCACTTAAAATTTCACGCCTTCAAATCCCATAGTAGAAAATGACGACTTTCTAATAAGTAATAATCATATATCTTTATTTTTAATTGGACTCGACATTGAGCTGAAAAAGTGAGTGGTTCATGGTTTAATTATAAATTCTCTAGACTGTTGGTGAGTCATGTATGTACCAATTCATACTTGTATTAGAATACATAAAAATAGTATACTAATTAGGGTTAGATATAGAAGACAAAAAAAGAAATAAAGAAAATGTTATGGAAGACGAGCGAAAAATGAAAAGAAGATGAAATAAATGATGGAAAGGTTTGGTCATTTTTATACTTATATTAACTTTTAAATTATTATTTTTATTACTGCTGATTTTTTTAAACATTGTTCTATTAAAATGTCATACAAAAACTTCATACAGATCAATATCTTAATGTCTCGTATTATATTTTACTAAATATGTTGTCACGTCACCGAATAGAATATTCATATAAAAAATGGTAAATATTATTTCAAATGTATAACATACATATTTTTTGAAGTAAAAATCCCATGGAAGACCAAAATGTCGAATCTTCTCCTATATTTGAGTGATACAACATCTTGCATGGTACAAACTAAATTTATACTTTTATGTTATGGTGGATTGGATTCATGGATTCAAGTAAAATCTAAATATTCGACCAATATGTAAATTTAAAAAATTATAGGTACGAAAACTCATAAAATTAAGTACCAAAACATAATTATTCAATGATTTTATATTAAAATTAAATTCGGGGTATCAAAATGTAAAATATATACCAGAATCTGGGATACCATTCGGATTAAGGCTCCAGAAGTGGATTGGTGGAGACTGATATGGAATTCAGAAATTATTCCTAGACATGGTGTGCTAGTCTGGTTAGCTTTGTGCAACAAGATTATCACACTAGATAAGCTTATCTCATGGGGGAAAGAAACCTGGGGTAAGTGAGTATTTTTCCCTGGAGGTGTGTTACGTAGATGCGCCGTAGGGGCGGAATTCTACGTTCTGGATCTTTACTTCTCCGGACTTTTGGATACGTTGCTCGATGCTCTCTAGTAGAGGATCTCCTTAATGGCGAGAACAACCCCAAAATAGCTACGAAACTACTAAACTGAACGAAAGAAATAATCAAAGCAACAAACATAAATTGGGTTCCAATCTTCTCATGACATTAAACGAACGAAACAAGTACATATTTATAGGCATAGAAGCCTCTACCTTTTCCTATCTAGAATATAACTCCTACTCCGCTAAGAACACGACTAACAATAACCTAAACCAACTTGAACAAGGAAAACATTAATTAAGACAATAATAAATAAGACCCAATAATATCCAAATACGAACTAATAAGAAAAGATACGCAAGCCCAGTAATTAATGAAATGTCACGATGGACAGCGGCGCCGGAAGGCGATGCTTCATTGACGGCAGCAGAGACTCCGTCTTCACTGGTCCCCACCGAATCAGTCTGCGACAGTGACTTGATGGTGGTTCCGGCAACGGCATCGTCTCGCTTCTTCCTCTTCCCTCCAATTGCGATGCCACATGAATCAGTGACTCCGCTAGGATAGAACCTCGCCGCCAAGCCCTCCTTGCCAATTCGATGACTCTCTTGACCCGTGGGAAGCTCACCTTGTTCCGATCCAAGACTGCAATCCTCCTTTAATACCTCGTTCTTTTCTTTGGCGGTGGATGAAGGAGGAATTGACGGGGACGCTACGACGCCGCGGCCACAAGCGAACCGCACAACCATCGTGGTGTCTTCGTCGTTCAACGCTTGTGACTCTATTCCCCTCTCCGCGAAATTTGGGAAGGCAAGGCGTTCCCCGTGTGGCGAATCGGAGGCGATTGGTTTGATGACATCGAATTCAACTGGCTTCAACACCTCGTATTTGGCCAAGAGCTCTGCCAATCGTTGTTCCCAGCTTAATGATGTCTCCTCCGAAGGCGACTGCTTGGTGGCGGCGATATCAATGATCTGCAGCGGCTTGTCCTCTTCCACTTGAAAACTCTCGTGACCTTGCCGCATCGATCCGTTCCCGGCGATTGGTGATGAACTTCCCACGTTCTGAGGTGAGCACTCCTCACGCCACGACCTGTCCGATGATGACCTCGCGTTGGGCTGCTCGTGGTGTCCCGTACCGAACGCGGCGAGCTCGTGTGCGGCCCAAATCTCCACATTGTAGTGGTAGCTCCAACCTGGTGGTTGTCCCCAATTCGCCTCGTAAGGTTGCTTGTGATGATGCCCGTACTCTTGGGTTTGAGAAGCATACGAGTATGTATACGGCGGCGGCGGATATGATGTATGCGACGATTTCAGAGCTACGGTTAGCGCCTCCTCTGGCAACCTCATAGAGTCGATACGATCAAGGCAAAATCTCTCCACATATTGATTCCAAGTAGCGACCAATTCTCTTGCTCGAATACCTTCAATCATCATGGTTTTACGATGCCGGAGAACCGGGCTCTGATACCAACTGTTACGTAGATGCGCCGTAGGGGCGGAATTCTACGTTCTGGATCTTTACTTCTCCGGACTTTTGGATACGTTGCTCGATGCTCTCGAGTAGAGGATCTCCTTAATGGCGAGAACAACCAAAATAGCTACGAAACTACTAAACTGAACGAAAGAAATAATCAAAGCAACAAACATAAATTGGGTTCCAATCTTCTCATGACATTAAACGAACGAAACAAGTACATATTTATAGGCATAGAAGCCTCTACCTTTTCCTATCTAGAATATAACTCCTACTCCGCTAAGAACACGACTAACAATAACCTAAACCAACTTGAACAAGGAAAACATTAATTAAGACAATAATAAATAAGACCCAATAATATCCAAATACGAACTAATAAGAAAAGATACGCAAGCCCAGTAATTAATGAAATGTCACGATGGCTCGATCTCGTAACAAGGTGATGAAACTAGAGAGCACCTGCTATAATTGAATGCTCTTTTTTCTGTCTATGTTATGAGGAAAAGTCTGAAAGTCTATGCGCCGCCAACTGTGGGGGATTGGGATAGCTATGTGCATTGGTGTGTGCAGAGATGGAACAAAAAGAGTTCTATGATATGTGTTTGTCGATTGATTTGGAGTACAGTCATTAGCTATGTTTGGCGTGAACGTTGTTGCAGGTTGTATGGAGGGTGGAAGAAGAAGTTTCATTTCGTGTGCAAACTGAACCTGCCCTCCACCAAGAATTTGACCAGTCGAATAACCAGTAGTAGTGTTTATATATAGCTTTTAGCTTATAGTAGAGTTATAGATTTACATGGTGCAACAGGGATACCCCAAATATATGTACAGAGGAGTTTGAGAGGCAGCTCGGCTATTTGGCTAAGCTAGCTAGAGCGTAATGAAATTTTTTTTATTTGCAATAAAAAAAATGTAAAATATATATTATAGTATTTAAATTATAATTTAATTAAATTTGGATATCAAAATACAATTATTTAGGCAACAGTAATCGGTACTTTAATTAACTTTATATATATTAACTATAAAGTGATGTAATGATCTGAATTTCATTTCTAACATTTCACTTGTACATACTAATATTTTAATGACATAAAAATCGCGAATTTTGTTTTGTGACAGATATGTTCACTAAAAATTTATGTACATGATCGGTTTAAAAAAAAAAAAAAAAATTATGTCCATGATCAAATGGCAGATGTTTTCACTAAACCTGTGTTGGGTCACATCCAAACTTGACATTCATGGCCCTCCTTGAGAGGTGTTATATTGCAATATGCCTAGCCTAACCCTAATGCATAAACCACCATCTTCTTCTTTCCTCTTTTTCATTGGCATCTCGATTTCTTCTTATCTCGATTTCTTCTGTGTTTAATAGTGAATAGCTTATTGAGAAAGCTTTAATTCGTATAGCATCGACAAATAATTTCCCAAATTGATACATGGCATATATACATGTCACAAACAATCAAACGGAGATTCCTTGCGGAAAATTCTTAGCACCAACCTTGGTTGGACGTAGAAACTCCAACCATCCACATGTCAGTTTCTTATTAGTGAGTTCATCTTTCTTTTTTATATTTTTAATTCTTGATTTATTTAGCATAATTAAGAACATTAAAGATTAAGAAAAAAGGTAGACGAGTCCACCAATAACAAACTGACGCTCTAACCATGATTGGTGCTAAGAACTTTCAAGGACACGAACATATCGTACGTACACAGAAATATATAGAGACATTAGGATTATGGATAGCCATTACAAAGGCACGCTAGCTAGCTTTAGTACTAATGAAAGTTGCCATGTGTAGTCCCATGGCTTAGGAGACTGATTAACTACTAATTGGTTACATCCGTACAGCTGAAAATCTTCCCAACTGACTACTACTACTACACACAAATTAAACACGAAACATACATGCACGAAAAAGAGAAAGCATAGATAGATAAAGCTAATTATCAGCTAAAGCAAGCGCATGCAATGCATGCATGGGAGCTAGCTAGCTAGGTTGATTACATAATGGGTTGGGTAGGGGTGGCTGGCTTGGGGGCCGGCGGCGCCGGTTTCTTAGGTGGCACTTTGCCGGCCGTTACCATCGATAGGCAGCCGTCACCGTTAGTGTCATCACATCCTTCGGCCGGCGCCATGGACGTAAACTCAGAAATGGGGGATGCCGGCGTCGGAGATGGAGGCGAAGGCCTGGGGATTGGGGCCTCCACTTCATCAATATTATTCTCTTCATGGTGGCTGATGGCGGAGATTATGGCCGACAAGTCAAGCTGCAGGCTTGACGATGAAGAGCTCCTCTCGTAGATTATCACTACAGCCCTTTGGTCACCTGAATCATTAGTAATAGAGACAAACAAGCTAAGTAAATAAATGGAGAAACTCACAAACTCAATCATGGTCATAATGATGCTCAGTGATGTTATATAATACTAAATTAGGTATAATTACCTGGGAAAGTTCTGGGTTCAGCTGGAATGGCAAGAAACCCTAGGATCATAAGCAAAGTGAAGTAGATGGCTGCCATGATTATGAGTGCTGTTTTGTGGGTTGTTTTGCTTGGTGTTTTTTGCTACTTGGGATGATGAAGGGAGGCTATTTATAGAGGGCAGAAGAGCTCACTGCTATTGATGCATTAGGTAAACGAGCCCATCAACTTTCTGGCCTGCTCCATTCTCTTTTCCGGCATTATAAATTTATGATAAGGGGGGAATTGGGCCATGTTTTCTTTGCACTACACCATAGATGATGCCGATCGTACTACTGTGAGTTTGAGTGGAACTCACTTTTCCTTGCATATTCTAACATGTTTTTGTTAGATATTGTAATGAATTGAGCTGGATAGTGGGAATGTGAGCAACTTTAAGATTTCACATGACCGGTCTTGATCAACATTCAACTGTCTTCCAATTGACACGGTTTGGAGGCAGCCCGCATCATTCCTAAGATTCCAAAAGCCATTTTATGCAATGTGGTCCAAAGGTTTTCGACTTTGTCTATCGCTGGCCAAAGCTTGATTAGTGCGCCCGCAATCATTTAGGCTCTCATTTGCTGTTTCTTTGGTGTATTCATGGTTTTTTTTATATAGATAAATGGATGCAGATAGTAACTCAACTTTTATTCAAAATCAGACGGGTTGGGAGAGACCCTAACTCAGTTTTGCAGTTAGACGGTAAGCAGACTTCACGCGGAATCGCGCATCTTGCTTTGGTCCCCAGACCTTAACCTCCTCACTAAGATCATTGGCCGTATGTTGAATGCCTAAAACCTACCGAACCATTTTGTGAGGTAAACAACTTTGAAGAAAGGGAACGTCCGACTCACCATTTGGGAGGACAAAGGCAGCCACCGGCTGATAGGGGTCAATCAGCGGGTGTTGGGCGGTGGCATAGTCTAGCAGGAGCTCTCCATTATCAAGTGATCAACCGTCTGTCCACAATCTCGTGTCTTTGCCATCCTTTATACTAATCATCATCCCTCAAGCCATGATGAGCCAACCACGCCAAATAGAGGAGGCCCTCGTCATGGTTTTTGCTTGGAGCACGCCATGCACCTTCTTAAAGTAATTTGCCTGCAAAACACGTACCCACAACTCATCCGAGTTTTTATCAAATTGCCAATTGCAAGCTTGGCAAAGAACGCCAAGTTGAGTTCGTGGGCTTTCAGGAGACCCAAACCCCTTGCATCCTTCAGTTTACACAGCCTCTCCTAGTGGACCAAATCCATCTTCCTTGCATCTATCGTGGATCCCCGGATGAGCCACATATCTTTTATTCAATCTAGTCACAAATGGATTGGGTCAACAACGTAGTTTGCATGGCCTAGGTAGGTAGAGCGATCATAACCAAAAGAGCAAGAGTAACCCTCCCCGCAAGGCTTAGGTTCTTCACCCTCCAACCTGCAAGCTTGTTATCAAGGCGGTCAAGGATATATATGTAATTAGTATCACGATTCACCTTACCATGTAGAACTGGCACCCCCCAGGTACCTCCCAAGGTCTTGTAAACCACATTGCCTAGCTTGATTGGTCAAAATTGAGATATAAGCTCGGGGCTTTCTTTCCTCGGGATCAACACTAGGAGAGTCTCATTGACGCTTGCTATCAGCGTCGGGGACATGAAACATTCAGCCACGAACTGGGAGAAAGAATCACCCACCATTGCCCAACATTTATGATAAAACAAAGGTGGCTACCCATCAACTCTAGGAGCCTTCATTCTGGCCATGCCTTTAACTCCAAACCTGATCTCCTCAAACACAATGTTTTTACCCAGAAGAGAAGTCTCTGCGTCCGTGATCTTCTCAAACAGTGTGGGAATGGGAGGGATAGCACTTGCTTCCGTAGTGAACAAATCAATATAGAAATTCCTAGCTAGTTTATGAGCTCCTTGTCTTCGTAAATCCACGAGCCTAGTGCGTCTTTGAGGCCCATCATTCTATTGAATTTTTTACGCTTTAACGTCGACATATGGTAATACCTGGTATTTCGATTTCCCTCTGTTAAGAATATATGTCGGGACTTCTGCAGCCAATGGAGTTGTTCTTGCCAAAGGGGAGATAATAATCGCCAAAAGAGATATTTTTGTTATCGATATTCCCAGAGGAGAATATTTAGATACAAACCGGAAGTATTTTCAGGCAACCTATATAATACAAGAGAAAAAACGACGATCAACTATAAGTTGAAACATCAACTAGAGACTGCTCTTTTATACTTTTTTTACCATTAGCTGATGATGCAGGTTATTGGTTGAGTTAATTTTTCTTCGTCATATAATAGTTAATTATTACAAAAACTAGTAAATGTAGATAGAAAAGGGGGGGGGGGGGGGGTGAAAGTGGAGGTTTGGAGGAAAGGAAAATATATCCACCTTTGTGGCAACCAAATAATCACTTTAATTTTCAGATACATCCTTTCCATGTTTATTATTAATTTTGAAAAAAAAAAATATTATAACAGGATTAGGACAAACGATACCAAAGATGTGTGTAGTGGAGTGATTCTTGAATAATAATTTTGACGGATGATGGTGGAATTATTGGCAAGCAAAATAATCGAGTGGGTCATTTGGTGGTTAGGATTACACTTCTTTTGTTTCTTGCAGCTTCTGATAATTTTGATTTTAGACCGTGTTTATTGTTTATGTTGTAAACTGTTGTTATCTATGAGTTCTTTGTCATATAAGTGAGCTATTGGAAGAAGAAGAAAATATTGGTACACCATGTAATTTGTAGTTTTATGATAATTCTATTGATTTCACCATGAAGTCTTTTAGATTGAACAATGTATTCCGAAATTCTAGTTCAGGTAGTGCTCCATCTTGTTTCGCATGAGCCGAAGAATGACGTTATTTTCTGGTGCCACTCACCTACTGGTAAATTCTCTCTTAAATATGCATGCAAGTTCACCGACACAGAGGAGGAAATGCCAGTTACCCACCCATGGCGCCATCTTAGACTCCTGCTACTCAACGGCTAGCGCATTCAAGCTTTCTTCTGGCTTATTACTCATGAAAGATCGCTTACAATACATGAGAGAACAAGAGTACCATTTTCATAGGAACTTGTGGGTTGCTTTGGAAGAATGGGAATAGCCACGTACTCCAGGGTCAACTTGAAACTTATGCAAAACTCTAGTTTAACCCAAACCATCTAAGGCATCACATCGTCACGACCTTTGAGAAGAATAGCACACTTTATGGGTGATGGATTAAAATTCATGATGGTAAATTATCTTTCTACCCTTAATTATTTCTTTAATTACAAATTTGTCCTACTTTAATTCAATGGTCATGCAACTGTAAACTTTTATAATTTCGTATTTTATAAATATGAGAATTTATCATTTCATTTTGTAATATCGTATTTTATTTAAATATGAATGTATTTGTGATTTGTTAGATTCACCTAGAAACACTTTATGCTCATCTTGTACATTATTATTTGATTGATTGTCGGATTCCACATCGGTGAGTTAGCAAGAAGATGATGAGTTGTAGCAATAAAGCGAGCAATTGGCTGCAATTGATACATAATATTGCGTACATTATTAGATGAATTATTTTTTTATGAAGGATTATTAGATGAATTTTTAATTAGTGCCAAGATGAATTGTTAATTAGTGCCAAATTGTAATACATTTCTATATTTGTAGTTGAATTATTAATCCACATAGTGGTAAAGAGTTTAAAATTTCTTTCTAGGTTTTGGATTAGTTTTAAATGAAAAATTTGGATTATAATATAGAAATATAATTAAATAAGGGTAACTAGGTAATTTGTATTTAATATCCACAAATCTAATCAAACAAAGTCTATAATCAAATCCATCAAGCAAACAATAGACTTGTTCAAATCCATAATGCTACCAAATCCATCATATATCCATGGTTTTCCAAAACCCAAGTTTTACCAAACCCCTCATTTTTCAAATCCATGAAGCAAACGACCCGTAATGAATATTTATTAAAAGTATTTTTTTACGAATCCACCCACTGAGCTAGATTTAAATTCATAAAGATTCGATCCTACCCAAACCTTTGTCATCCCATGTGCTGATTATTATTGTTATTATGCATCAATCATCTTCGTAGCAAAGAGGGAATACCAAAAATATATATACAAAATAGAAATTTGACGCCAGACCACCTCCACTGTTGATCTTGTTTCAGTGATTCTTAGATCACGCCTGCCCACATACACATACACCAGCACAAGTGGGAAGTAATGGAAACCTTAGGGCCACAAAACCAACAAAAATGAAGGGAAGAGAAGAAGAATTGGTCCTGTCCTGATATAGCAGGATTGCAATCCGTGATCGTGGTTCGTGGATATGGAAAATTCACATATTGACTAGTTATAGATAAAATCTCTAAAAAGTTTAGTAGGGATGGAACTGTATGGTTTTAGACTTCCCGTTCCATACTCATACGCATACTCGCTCCATCAAGAGTGCTTCTTCATAAATAAAAAATATTTTAAATTGTTAATGAGAAAAAGGGTAATCCAAAAAAAAAAAGAGTAGAAATGTAATTGAGCAGCCACCCATATCAAGTCCTATAAGTTTTCCCTCAATTCTCCCTTCACTATTTCACTTCTTTCCTCTCTATTATCAAGATTATATTGGTTATTTATTATTTAGTAGATCTGTCAAAGTCAGATATCAATGATTTGTAATTTTGTATCGTATAGTATATATTTTGTCTTATCGGTTAATGTATGTTTTAAGATTGGATGCTTTGATTTTGTATTAAGAATAATTGTACTTTTGTTGATTTCGGGATTGATAAGGTTTGTTAATTGTTAGTGTTATATTCAAGATCTATATGTTAAATATTAAGTAAAGTAATATTAAATGTACAGGGCGAGTATTACCCACGACTATCCAGAAATCGTGGGTACACGATTATCCAGAAATCGTGGGTACTTAGATGGGTTGCAAAATTTTCACTCACGAGTAACGGATATGGATTTGGATATTTGGAAAGGAGAGAGATTATTAGATAAATCAGCCCAAAGCCGCCCAACAATATCCCTAATAAAGATGTACAACCCACATTCCCAAAGTGGGATGTAATTCATGAACACGATGGCACAAGATGAAGAATGAGCGCACAACCAAAAAAGTGAACAGAAGCAACGTGATCACCAATGTACAA